AAAGCAAGATCAGAGACTATTGAAAAGAGAATAGAGAACATCAAACAAAGAACAGAGAACATTGAACAAAGGACAGGGAAAACTGATGAAGAAGTGGAGAACATTCAACAAATGATGTCGAAGTATGATGAGAGATTCCAAAAAATTGAAGAAGATAAACAAAGAGACAAGAAGATTGGAGACATTGATAACAGATTAACTGTGGTTGAACAAGATAAAAGTGGTATGCTGAGATGGACAGATCAGAATTTTATCTTAGATTTCAAAACGTAGAGGAAGAAAAAGGACAAAACTTAGCTGAGATAATGATAGAAATACTGGCTGAAGCCTTGGAAATAACTGAAGAGAAGATGATGGATGGAATAGACGAGGTATATTGAGTCTTTACAAGATATGCGATGAGAAATAGCTTACCAAGAGAAGTTCATATTAGATTTACAAAGAAAGCCATTAAAACGCAAATATTGCAAGTGGCAAGAGAGAAAACATTGAAATACAAAGGCAAGGAGATTGTGGTCTTAAAACAAATACCCAGAAGAGTGAGAGAGATGAGAAGAGAAGAGAATACCGATTCCTGATTAAAATGCTACTTAAAAAAGAGGTGAATTATAGATGGCTGATTCCAGAAGGGCTAATGTTCACATGGCAAGAACAGAGACATAGAATTGACTCAATTGAGAAAGTGGAATTATTTTATACAGAAGTTTTTGGAAGGAAAGAGGAAGAGGCAGAAAAAGAGATCTCACTAATTGAATTCCAAGAGGACTGCCAAATGGTGACTGAAAAAGAAGAAGGTGCAGTAGGTAGAAAGGTGGAAGCCAAAGAACAACGTGAACTAAGATCTACGAGAGCTGCTAAACCCAACTATAAAATATAACCATGGAAGAGAAAAAATTGATTACAATTAATATAAATTGACTTAACTCAGCCGCTAAAAGAAGAAAAACTTTTCATAAATTAGAGAAATTAAAATTTGATATAATTTGCCTACAAGAAGTACATATTAAAAAACAATATGAACAATTGTTGGTACAGCCAAAATTAGGGAAAATATTTACTTCCTTGACCCAATGTAAGAAAAGAGGAGTGGTTTTATATATTAAAGAGACCAGATTTATACTGATGAAGATCGAAGAGTACTAATGGTGGAAATAATGGACAATAATATGAAAACACTCCTGATTGCAATCTATGCTCCGAATGACAAACAAGAAGAATTTTACAAAAAATTACATATGAAAATAATTGAACTGGACTATGCCAATATAGTTATGATGGGAGATTTTAATGGAATTGTAGACAACGAATTGGACAATTCAGCAGCAACAACAAAGCAAAACAGAAAGACTCTCCCTAAATCCTTTTTTAAAAATGGTTGATGAATTAAATTTAAAAGATACATGGAGAGAAAGAAATGTTAAAACTAAACAATATACCTTCTATTCAAATAGATATTTATCATGGTCCAGAATAGATATAATATGGATGTCAACAGAATTAATATCTAATATTCAAGAAATAAATATTGAAACAAGTACTTGGGCAGACCACAATCCAATGACAATTAAATGGAAAGGACAAAAAAGAAGATCAAGATGGACGTTAAATAATACTATTTTAAAGGAAAAAGACTTCACACAGCGGATGGAGAAAGAATTGGCCTTTTTCTTTAGAGAAAATAAAAAAGAAGATACATCAATTCAGAATGTATGGGATACAATGAAGGCATATGCTAGAGGCTTGATAATAGATTATACAAGGAAAAGGAATACTAGGAAAAGGCAAGCCTCTAAGGCTCTAGAGGATGAGCATAAAAGACTTGAAAAAGAGCTACAGAAAATGTCACAGAAAAAGGACATTAAGCTAAAAATGGATATAATTAAACACAAAATGGGTCAAATAGAGAAAGAAGAATTAGCACAGAAAATTAGCGGTGCTAAACAGAACTACTTTGAAGATGCAAACAAACCAGGTAGATGGTTAGCATATAAATTGAGAAAGGAGAAAGAATCAAGGAAAATATCGCAGTTAATAGATGATCAAGGTCAAGTTTGCCATGGCAACAAAGAGAAGAAGGAAATTATTCGAGACTTTTATGGGAAATTATATAAGCAAGAGAACATTGATGAGGAAAGAGTCCAACAGTATTTACAGAATGCTAATTTACCTAAGATACCTAAAGAGACTGAAAAAATGTTAGAAAGCAATGTAACAATGATGGAGTTAACTGAAGCACTTAAGAAGCAAAATAATGGAAAGGCACCAGGCCCAGATGGACTTCCGGCAGAATTTTATAAAACATTACAACAATCGTTGAACTTTCCATTGCTAGAAGTCATGAATGAAGTTATGTCAAAGAAGAAGATACCTAAAACATGGTCAGAAGCCTATATCACACTTATTCCAAAAGAAGAGGCTGATCCATTGCAAATTAAGAATTACAGACCTATTTCTTTACTAAATGCAGTTTATAAAATTTTCGCTTCAATACTGGCAGAAAGACTTAAAAAATATTTAAATAACTTTATTCATCCTGATCAAAATGGATTTCTGCCAAAGAGACAAATTAAAGATAACATGAGAGTAATTTTGGACACTTTGGAATATTATGAGGCACATCCCGAAAAACAAATGGCTTTGATATTCTTAGATGCACAAAAAGCATTTGATAATGTGAATTGGAGATTCATGTTATTATTGTTGGAACAGATGGGTTTTGCCAGAAAATTTATTCAAGCAATAGAAGCCATATATCACAAGCAAACGGCAAAGGTAATGATAGAGGGAGAATCGACAGACTCCATTAATATAAGAAAAGGTACAAGACAAGGATGCCCTCTATCACCTTTGCTATTTGTATTAACTTTGGAGTGTTAAATAGAAATATTAGAGACGAAAAGAGTATAAAAGGGATGAAAATTAAAAAGGAAGAATTTAAATTGCAAGCTTTTGCAGATGACTTGGCTTTTATTTTAGAAGACCCTTTAGAAACAGCACCAAAATTACTGGAAAAGATAGAGGCATATGGCAAGGTGGCTGGTTTGAAAATAAACAAAGACAAAGATTTTGACAAAGAATATGCTATCAAGACAAAAAGAAGAATTGGCAGACCTATTGAAAATTTAAGTTACGAATAAGATCAAGTATTTGGGGATACATTTGACAGCAAGATGTAGTACATTAAAGGAGAACAATTACATTAAACTTGAACAGCAGATAGTGTCAGACTTGACGAAATGGGAAAATCTACAACTGTCATTAATAGGGAGAATTTCAACAATCAAGATGAATATATTACCCAGAATTTTATATTTGTTTCAAACAATATCAATTAGGCTTGGAAAGGACTACTTTGAAGATTTAAATAAAATTGTGTTGAAATATATATGGCAAAGTAAGAAAGCGAGAATAAAGTTAAAACTCTTGCAAGATGCTAGAATTAGAGGAGGATTTGGTTTGCCTCATTGGGAGTTCTACTACCAAGCTACAAACTTGATGTGGGTCAAGGAATGGATAACATTAAGAAATACTAGATTGCTGACATTAGAAGAACATGATTTGTTGTTGGGGTGGCATGCTTTTTTATGGTATAAGGGAACCAAAACACAGGGCTATTTTAGAAGACATCATATACGGGATTCTCTGTGGTTAAATTGGGAGAAGATTAAAGGACAATGCTATTTGAAAATTCCAGTCTGGTTATCGACTATTGAAGCAATTTCTTATCCTATAATATATAAGGAACAAACAGTTAGATATGGGGAAATTTTGAATGAAAAGGGTGAACTCAAACCTATGCAAAAACTAGAGGAACAAGGTATAAAGATGAATTGGTTTTCATATGTGCAAATACATTCAAGGTATGATAAAGATTTTAAAACAGAAGGTTTTTAAGATAAATTGACTGACTTAGATAAGATCTTCACAAGGTACTGATGAAAAGGTGATTAAAAGACTATATGGATATCTGTTAGAAACTAAACTAGAAGAACAAGTTAAAGAAACTATGATTGCTTGGGGGAAGAATTTTGGATATGGGATTGATTTAGAGAAATGGCAAAAACTGTGGTCTCAAAATTATAAAATGACAATGTCAACAGCATATAAAGAAAATTTGTATAAGATGTTTTACAGGTGGCATTTTCCCCTGACAAGAATAGCAAGAATGTTCAAGAATAAATCCGAAAGATGTTGGAAATGTCATCAGATACCTGGCTCATACTATCATATGTGGTGGACTTGTGCGGATGCTAGAAAATACTGGACTAAAATCCACATGTGGTTGGAAAAAATGACAAAAAAAACATATAGATTTGAAACCAGAGATATTTTTATTGGGAATTTTACCTGATACATACAGTAAAGATTTGAAATATTTGATTGTAAATGTATTAACAGCGGCTAGGATTGTATTTGCTAAAAATTGGAAAAATGAGAAAACACCATCGCAGGAGGAAACCATTAAGAAAATATTGGAATGTACTGAAATGAGCAGATTGACATTTGAAATTAGAGAACAAGAGGATAAACAATTTTACAAAATTTGGGACCTTTTCTATCAATGGTTAGATAATAAAATATAATAATGGAATATGTAGAATATTAGAAAATAATGAATATATAAAGATGTATTTCTTTTCTTTTTTTATTATTATATCTATAAAACGTTTCTAGGATAGATTTGGGAGGATTATATGAATTGTTATGATATAAACTAAGTAAATTATAGGTATCTCGCAAAGTATGAATGAACAAAATTATAGTCAAATGATTGATTAATAATGATGCAAGATATTTAATCTTTGATTGAGAATATGAGTTATGATGCAATGTAACTGTAATTGCGACTATGAAATGGATGCACAAAAAATTTGTAAACCAACCGACACACTGCTTGCATACTCATGGAAGAAAGGTTGATGTTTTTATGTTTTGTTTGTTTTTGTTTGTCTTTAAAAACAAAAAAAATTTACAAAAAAAAAGAAAATATCATTCCCACATCTCGGCAACGTGCCTTACTTCTCCATTAAAGAAAGGAAAATCAAAATCACAGAGGGTCCTCAATTTACAATGGTTTAGTGACTGTTCAAAATTACAACAGCGCTGAAGACAGTGACTTCGGACCATCCATCCTTGCGACCATTGCAGCAGTCCCCTGCTGACGTGATCAAAATTCGGACACTCAGCCACTGACTCGTATTTATGGCGGGCTCAGGAGATTTCCTGATTTGGCGACCCTCCAATGAGCAAAGTCAACGGGGAAGCCCGATTCACTTCACAACGGTTTTGACCCCGACAGTGATTTGGCGAACGACAGTGACAGGAAAGGCCGTAAAATGGGGGGGGGACACAAAGTGCCCCCTCACAAAGGTCTTCCCCTAGCCACAGAAATTTGGGGGCTCCACCATGAATCGTAGCTTGAGTACCAGCTGCATGTCGTTTTTGTGACCTGGAGACGAAACAAAGTCAGGACTCGAACGCTTAAGGGAAGAAGTATCGGAACGTGGCGACAAGTCCGTTTCTCAGGCAGGAAAACGACACAACTACATTTTTCAGGCAGGACAATGCCACGACAACTACATTTTTCAGGCAGGACAACGCCCATCCGCCAACATAAAAGATGAACCAGAATGGAAGGGAGCAGAGCAAGAGTATGTCGACGATGCTTCGGGATGGCTGGGGGTTCTTCTCGAAGAACCCCCGGACATGCTCGTCCCGTACGTTGAGCTCCAGGTACAGCCGGTTGACATAGTATCGCCCACCATTCTCGAAAACGGTCCTCTGCACCATTGCCATCAGCTCCGACACCTGCCTCACCCGCTCGGCTCCCACGGCCTTGTTGTTGAACCCGCAGAAGCGGTTCCCGCACTGCCAAATCAGGTCGCACAGATTCCAGTTGTCGGAGTTTCGGACGTACTCCTGCAGGGAGTCCCCACCCAAATCCTCCGCACAGGTAAAGAGGATGATGGTGTACCTGGTGGACTCAGGCCCAAAGATATCCCAGATGCACTTCGCCACGGCGGCATCTTCGGCGGTGAAGCGTCCCACCTGGGTGACCAAGATGAGGGCATGGGGGCCGGGCCAGGAGAGATGAATGCAAGCCAGGATGTCCCGCCGCACCATCTCTGTGTAGTCGTCACGGTCAAACAGGCCAGGGGTGTCGACCACAGACATCGTCGTGCCCTGCCAGCTGCCCAGCTCCCTTTGGCACCTCAGGGTGGTGGTCTTGGCCACCAAGATGGACTTGAATGCCTTCCGGCCGAGGAGGGTGTTGCCTGTCGCGCTCTTCCCGCCACCAGTTTTCCTCACCAGGATCAGCCCGAGTTCAGCATCGTCCCCTGGGAGTTTGGAAGACAAGGTTACAGAAATGCTGGTGCTCACTTTAGCCCTGGAGTGCTATTGATCCTTCCTTCTCTTTCTCCTTCTTTCTTCCCTCCCCCTTTTTCTTCCTTCCTTCCCCCTCCTTCCTTCCCTCCCTTTCCCTCCCTCCCTTCCTTCCAGCCTCTGCTTTCCTTCCATCCTCCCTTCCTTCCTCCCATCCTGCCAGCCTCCCTCTCTTTTTCCTCCCTTCTCTTCCCTCCTTTCCTCCCCTTCTCCTTCTTCCTTTCTGCCTCCTTCCTCTTTCTTTTTCCTTCCTTCTCTTTCTTTCCTTCTTTCCTTTCTTCCTTCCTTCCTTAACAACTCTCTCCCTCCCTTTTCTTTCCTTTCTTCCTTTTTTTCTTTCCTTCCTCCCTCCCTCCCTCCTTCCATCCTCCCTTTTTCCTCCCTTCTTTCCTTCCTTCCTCCCTCCCCCTTCTCCTTCCTTTCTGCCTCCTTCCTTTCTCTTTTTTCTTCCTTCTCTTTCCTTCTTTCCTTTCTTTCTTCCTTCCTCACAGCCTACCACCCTCCCTTTTCTTTCCATCTTTCTTTCTTTTTTCCTTGTTTCCTTCCTGCCTCCCCCCTCCCTTCTCTCTTCCTTCCTTCCTCCCTTCCTCCCATCCTGCCAGCTTCCCTGTTTCCTCCCTTCACTTCCCTTCTTTCCTCCCTCCATCTTTCTTTTTCTTTCCTTCTCTTTGTTCCCTTCTTTCCTTCTTTCTTCCCTTCTTTCCTTCTTTCTTCCTTCCTTCCTGAATGCCCCCTCTCCCCGTTTTCTTTTCTTTCTTTCTTTCTTTCCTTCTTTTCCTTTCTTTCTTTCTTTCTTTCTTTCTTTTTCTTTCTTTCTTTCTTTTCTTTTCTTTTCTTTCTTTTTTTCTTTCTTTCCTTCTTTCTTTCTTTTTCTTTCTTTCTTTCCTTCTGTTTCTTTCTTTCTTTCCTTCTTTGTTTCTTTCTTTTCTTTTCTTTCTTTGTCTTTCTTTCTTTCATTCTGTTTCTTTCTTTCTTTCTTTTCTTTCTTTTTCTTTCTTTCTTTTTTTTTCTTCCTTTTTTCTTTCTTCCTAGTTTCTTTCATTCCTTTGTTTCTTTCTTTCTTTCTTTCCCTCCCTAAAAAGTCCTGAAAACCTGCCTGAAAATGCCCAAAAAACTCCCTGAGATGGCCTGAAAAACTACCTGAGAAATAGGCTGCAAATGGGCCAAATGAACATCCCGCAAAATGCCTGAAAAATGGCCCGAAAAAACTGCCTGAAAAGGCCCAAAAAACTGCCTGAGAAGTGGCTGGAAAAACTGACTGAGATATGGCCCGAAAAACTGCCTGAAAAGGCCCAAAAAACTGCCTGACAAATGGCTGGAAAAACTGCCTGAAAAGACCTGAAAAACTGCCTGAGAAATGGCTGAAAAATGGCCTGCAAATGGGCCAAAAATGCCCCCTAAAATGCCCAAAAAATGGCCTGAAGAACTGCCTGAAAAGGCCTGGAAAACTGACTGAGAAATGGCTAGAAAAACAGCCTGAAAAGGCCCAAAAACTGCCTGAGAAATGGCTGGAAATACTGCCTGAAAAGGCCCCAAAACTGCCTGAGAAATGGCTGGAAAAACTGCCTGAAAAGGACTGAAAAACTGCCTGAGAAATGGCTAGAAAAACTGCCTGAGAAATGGCTGGAAAAACTGCCTGAGAAATGGCTGGAAAAACTGCCTGAGAAATGGCTGGAAAAACTGCCTGAGAAATGGCTGAAAAATGGCCCGTAAATGGGCCAAAAATGCCCCCCAAAATGCCCCAAAAATGGCCTGAAGAACTTCCTGAAAATACCCAAAAAACTGTCTGAGAAATGGCCAAAAACAGCCTGCAAATGGGCCAAAAATGCCCCTGAAAAATGGCTTGAAAAACTGACTGAAAAGGCCCAAAAAACTGACTGAAAAAGGCCTGAAAAACTGCCTGAGAAATGGCTGAAAAACGTCCTGCAAATAGGCCAAAAACGGCCTGGAAATGGGCCAAAAACACTCCCCAAAATGGCCCCTAAAACTTCCTGCAAAGGCCCCCAAAACTGCCTGAGAATGGCTGAAAAACGGCCTGCAAATGGGCCAACCCCTCCTGCCCAAAAAAGCCTGCCAAAAAGGCCTGAAAACCTGCCTGAAAACACCCAAAAAACTCCCAGAGGTGGCCTGAAAAACTACCTGAGAAATGGCCTGCAAATGGGCTGTTGAAAGGCTGGCAAATGCCTTTCTTCTGAGGATTCGATTTTCCTGCTGGGAGAGCTCCGGTGCAAGGATACGGACAACTGCTTGAAAGCTGGATCTTTTTATTTTTTCAGGAAGGTGAGAGATAGAAAGAAGTCTGCGTTCCTGGGGCTAGCTAGCTAACTTTGAAGGGTAAATTCCGGGTTCTTTATACCATTTTTCTCCCTTTGTGTGTGAATGTTTGTTTAGTGTTTAATGTTTAGATATTAAAATCCTGTCAGAGTTTAATTTTTGCCGGAAGGCATACTTAGCGAGGGGCGGGAAATAAACTCTGTGAGGTGGCTTGATTGCCTTATCAGTTCTTTCTTAATCTCTTTTACCTTTATAATGGGTTTTTTCTATTTGTTTTCTGGCAATCTCCTGTCTGTTTCCTATGTAATTTATTCTGTCTTTTGTCTGTTTGCTTTGCTGATTTGGAAGGGTTTTCTTTTCCTTGTTTCCCTAGCTTTCTTAATTACTTGGCTTTTGTCTAGGGGGCTTCTTTCAATACTTTATTAAATTTCTTTTCCTATGCAAGTTTGTTCTATGGCTGGCCTGATGTTCCCCTCGGGCTTTTCCTGCTTGGGTGACACCACTGTCCTCGTGAAGTTCCCTTTCCACAATCCTTCATTTTTTTTTCTAGAGGGTGGTCTCTGATTGTATGTCTGGGTCTTCTTGGTATTTGTGATCAATCTGGATCATCATCATGGCTGCTTGTCTCCCTTTTAATTTTCTCCTTTGAGAGGGAATACAGGCCTTTAGGCAGCTGAGGCAGGGCGGTATGCATCGACAGAGGCAACACATGAGGGCTCCAAAGACACAAATGGTGACTGTGGTTGTTATAAGGATTTTGAGCCAATGGAGATCCGGCATCCATGAGAAGAGCCATGAAAAGTCCAGGAATGATTGCTTCTGGCCAATATTTTGAGCTAGCTCTTTCAGGTGGTGGATGTCCCTTCCTACGAGTTCTGAGGTTTCGTTCAGATTGAAGCAACACATCCCTTGGAATGTTTCGCAGCCATAGTTATGCTTCAAGAGAAGGAAGTCTATTGCTGCCCTATTCTCCAGGGTGGCTTCTCTGACCTCTCTCAGTTCTCTGTTAAGGGCATCCAGGGCATGGGAGGTCAAATTCAAGCTTTTTGCCAGGGTACATGCTAGTCTATTCAAATTTTTAGAATTTCACACTGCCAATCTAGGTACCCCTACCAAGGATATTGCCAATGAGGTGTATTCTGTTTTTGTGGGAAGGGAGACTTTGGAATCACAGTCTGAGTCTAAGGTTTGGAGGGCTCTCCTGTGTCGTCTCTGTAAGGATGGCATAAGCATGGTTAACCTTCCCAAGGTGCAGGGGCCATTTGTGGCATTTGCAGGAAGGTATGAGTAGGCTTTTAAGCCACAAAGGAAAAACCATCCTGGTGGGAGCTTCAGGTAACTATATGAAAATGATATGGTTTCTGTATAGTTGCATTTTAGTTCTGTGTTGCTAAGACTGGTGCATTCTGCGACCCTAGGTGAGCTGCACCCAGTGACATTAAAGCATTTCTCAGAGGTGGTTACTGCAGCGATGTGTAGGGTGTACATGGTGTGATCCAAGCTAAAAATGCTTTTGTAGGAGTCAGGAAGGTTTCTAAATGTGGTGTAGTTAATGATGTTATGTGGCCTAGTTGCTACTCCCATTAGGTGTTATGTCCTTGGAACTGACCAAAGTTCCCAACCAAGTCTGTCTATACTGCGGGGGCATTTACAGCTCCCATTGGCTGGCTCCCTTCGACAGCCGGCTATAAAAGCCGGCTGCTAGGTCGAGCCAGCCGCTGTTCGCTGGAGCATGTCTGCTTGTTAGTATGCAGACGCGACAGCCCTTTATTCTGTTGAATAAAGCCTTTACTTGTGAATGCTCTGGTTTGGTCTCTCATTCCTTAATCTATAATACTGGCGATGAGGATGGGATCCGACTAACCAGAAGCATTCCATTGAGCTGAAATCACGATAGCAACTGAACCGCAGCCGCGAAGCAGAGAGCTCGGTCAGTTCGCTAGTTAGCTAAGTGAAAGTGAAGCGTCTGTAGCCGCTCGCACAGGAAGCTACAGAGAGAGAGAGAGTGAAGTCAGGCGCTGAAGCTACAGCCGCCTCGCTCGGGAAAAGAGCGCGGAATTCAAACTGCTGTCGTTTGAATTTGAAACTCAAGTGAAGCCCGGCGCTGTGTCCACGGCCGCCCACGCGCCCAGAGAGCGCGAAATTTGAATCTCTGTCAGTGCATCCACCAACGCTTTCCGGGAGCGCGAGATTCAAAAGATTGCTGATAAGTCACAGCGTTACAGCAAGAGCCTCTAACGCTCACTAGTACAGAGCTGAAGTCATTGAGCCAGGTACCGCTGCAGCCACAGCCGCCTGCGCTCGCGTGAGCACGTATTGGGCCTCGTATACCCAGAGAGAGAGGGCAGTCTACCCTTGACTGAGGCACCAATATGAACGCTAACCCAGCATTTCCGCCTTTTAAACCGGATGAAGAGAAGTGGGACTCTTATAGAAACCGGTTCAATCACTATATTGATGCCATTGGTCTGGCTGATGCAGCGGAACACCGAATAAAGTCATATTTCCTCAGCTACTGCGGAGCTGCAGTCTTCGACACCGCAACAGCCCTCCTTGCTCCACGAGAAATCAAGAGCGTTCCATGGCCAGAGCTGCTGGAAACGCTTTCAAATCATTACTCCCCTAAACCTTCGCAAATCGCGAGGCGTTTTGCCTTCCGGATGAGGCAGCAAGCAGATGGGGAATCCATTAATCAGTATATGGCCACCCTGAGGACAGCAGCTCTCCACTGCGAGTTCAAAAATTACCTGGACGACATGTTACTCGATCAACTCGTATGTGGAGTCAAAGATTTAAAACTACAGAGGCGTTTGCTGGCCAGAAAAGATCTCAACCTCTCCCAAGCGGTTGAAGAAGCCTTAGCTGCAGAACTAGCGACCCAGTCAGCCGCTGAAATCCAAGGGACCACCCCCAAGCCCAGCTCTGCCACTGTTCACTCCGAGGAAGCGGTGAGTGAAGAAGACCCCATTGAACATTCGGAAGTTCATCGTCTCAAACCCTTGAGGCAATCACAGGTAGGGGCAAGGCACAGGAACAGCAACGCACCAAAGCACATCCTGTTATGCCTGTCCTGCGGGGGTTCCCATGCCCGGACGGCATGCAGGTTCAGAAACGCCACCTGCAACAACTGCAACAAAAAAGGTCACATCGCCAGAGCCTGCCAGGCGGCACACGTGGCATCGCAAAGGACTGAGTCCTCTTACTCTCCTCCGGAGCCACCAAGGCAAGTAGAAAACTGTTATACTTGCTACCAAGCTAATCACACTTTTCTGACACCTAATAAAATCACACTTTCTATTCACTTAGAAGGTAAACCTTGTCTCATGGAGGTCGATACCGGGTCAGCGCTCTCGATCATCTCGTGGAACACTCTTAAGAAAATCCGGCCCAGCCTGTCTAGGAGCCAACTCCAGAAGAGCCGCCTCACCTTGAGGGACTATCAAGGGAAGAATATTCCAGTACTCGGAAAAGGCAAGTTCCTCGTTAATTTCAAATCCTTTAAAGGCCATCTGCCTTTAGTGGTTGTTGACGGTACCCTCCCTAGCCTGTTGGGGTTGGATTGGTTCCCCTATCTCGGTCTTAGTTTAACGGGAGCCCATGCTGTCTCAACTTCAGACATTGACTCCCTCTTTGCAGACTACGCTGATGTGTTCAGCAACGAATTAGGGTGTTACAATGGCACACCCATTTCTTTTTCAGTGGACCCCCAAGCAGTTCCCGTCCGTTTAAAACCGCGTAGAGTACCATTTGCGCTACGCCCTAAACTGGACGCGGAACTGGACAAATTACTCAAACAGGGGGTGATTGAGCCCACGGATTTTGCTAAGTGGGAGACCCCAATTGTCACACCCCTTAAGAAGGATGGCAGTTTAAGAATTTGTTCTGATTATAAGACCACAATTAACCGCTACCTACAGGTTAGCGCTTACCCAGTCCCGGTAATCCAGCACTTACTCCACACATTTGAGCCTGGCACCATTTTCGCCAAATTGGATATGTCACAGGCTTATCAGCAGTTTCCTGTTGACAGTCAAACGGCCGATTTACAAACTATTGTCACTCACAGAGGGGCATTCAGGTGCAGGCGTCTCCAGTTTGGCGTTAATGTTGCCCCAGGCATTTTTCAGTCATTAATGGAACGAATACTCCAAGGCCTCCCTGGCGTGGTTCCTTATTTTGATGACATATTGGTCTCAGCCAGGGACAGGCCCCAATTTTTCCAAAGAGTCAGAGCGGTTTTAGACAAGTTCAGACAGCATGGCCTCAAGCTAAAAAGGGAGAAGTGTGCCATCGCCACTAAACAGGTGGACTTTCTTGGGTATAGAATAGACGCCTCCGGCATCCACCCGGTAGAATCTAAAGTTAAAGCAATTCACGAGGCACCCACGCCTTCCACGAAGTCTGAATTACAGGCTTTCCTAGGCTTATTAAATTTCTACGCTTCGTTCCTACCCCACAAAGCGTCAGTAGCCGAACCGTTACACAGACTTCTAGACAAAAACGCACCATGGCATTGGGGACCCAAAGAGGAGTATGCCTTTAAAGCAGTCAAATCGCTGCTCACCTCAGACGCTGTCCTAATCCAATTCGACCAGCACCTCCCTTTAGTCTTAGCAGCAGACGCATCCCCCTTCGGGATCGGGGCTGTCTTAAGCCACAGACTACCCAACGGCTCCGAGGCACCAATCGCTTTCTTTTCCAGAACCTTGTCACCAACCGAGCGTAATTACAGCCAAATTGATAAAGAGGCCCTGGCCGCAGTTGCTGCGGTTAAAAACTTCCATGAATTTCTTTTTGGTCACAAATTCGAACTCATCACAGACCACAAGCCGCTTCTGGGGCTATTGTCAGGGGACAAACAAACACCCCAAGTCTTGTCACCCAGGATGACAAGGTGGACCTTATTCCTGGCGGCCTACTCGTACAAACTCGTTCACCGGCCGGGAAAAAACCTAAGCCACGCCGACGCCCTCAGCCGCTGCCCGCTGCCAACCCCTGTAGAGGACCCAACTCCGGTCCATGCCATCTTCGATGTCAGCGAGCTCAACCTACCTATCACCTCAGGCGACATCGCCTTTCACTCCAAAAAAGACAAAACAATCGCCCAGGTTCTGGACTGGGTACGGAGGGGGTGGCCGGTCACTAATTTCACAACCGAATTCACTCCATTTAAAACCCGCCAGCAAGAGCTTTCCAGTTTACAGGGCTGCCTGTTGTGGGGAACCAGAGTCGTCATTCCAAGCTCCCTGCGCACACCAGTCCTGAAGGCGCTGCACGAGGGCCACCCAGGCATCGTCCGGATGAAGGCGTTGGCTCGAAGTTACGTCTGGTGGCCGGGCATGGACGACGAGATCGCCAAATGGGTAAGCTCTTGCCGACCCTGTCAGGAATCCAGGCCAGCACCGCCAATCACCACCCCAACCAAGTGGGAGAGTGCCAACGCACCGTGGTCACGGCTGCACATTGACTTGGCCGGGCCAATGCACGGCAAGACCTTCTTGGTGGTCGTGGATTCGTATTCCAAGTGGATCGATGTAGCCCTACTACCCACGACCACCACCCGGGCAGTTGCCCAAGCCCTGACCCGTTTATTTGTAACACATGGGCTGCCTGACACCCTAGTCTCGGACAATGGCCCCCAATTTACGTCTACAGAATTCAGCCGGTATGTCACCAACCTGGGCATCCGGCACATCTTAACGGCCCCCTTTCATCCTGCCAGCAATGGGTTGGCAGAGAGAGCCGTTAGGTCAACAAAAGAGGCGTTGGCCAGATTCAATCAAGAGGACTGGCACTCTAAGCTCTCCCGTTTCCTCTTGAGCCAACACACGACCCCCTGTACGGTTACAAACAAGTCTCCTGCCGAGCTCCTAATGGGCAGATGTCTGAGAACGGTGTTAGACAGGCTGCATCCCCATTATTGCCCTGACACTCCTATCGGGTCTGACAGCAGGGTCAGAGATTTTGTGTTGCAGGACCCAGTGTTTGTCAGGAACTACGCCGGCGATCCGCTATGTGTACCCGGGAGAGTCGTGGCCATCACCGGTCCGAGATCGTACCAAGTTCAACTGGAGGACGGGCGAGTTTGGCGGAGACATCTGGATCAGATAAGGAAGCGCCAGAGTGGTCATGTCAATGCTGAACCATGGACTCCTGTTGATCTTCAGTCGTCACACCAGAATCCGATCAGGGACCATTTGAGGGACCTGTCACCACCGACCGAGCGAGGGGAACGGATGGTAGACCGGGACCGTCCGCCAGAGACGCCAGCCTTGCCGGCCTGCGATGCCACCGGGTTGTTGGACAATGACTATACTACAAGCCAACCCGGTGGCAGAGACTATTCACAGACACCTGATCAGGTCCCAGAGCAACCCCGCTCTCCAGCACCCACCAATCCTGATTCCCTGAACTCTGGTCCACTCAATGACTCACCTGAACTGCGCCGGTCCGGGCGCTCGCATAGGCCACCTGCATATTTAAAAGACTATTCATGTTCGCATCTGGGGGGAAGGGGTGTTATGTCCTTGGAACTGACCAAAGTTCCCAACCAAGTCCGTCTATACTGCGGGGGCGTTTACAGCTCCCATTGGCTGGCTCCCTTCGACAGCCGGCTATAAAAGCCGGCTGCTAGGTCGAGCCAGCCGCTGTTCGCTGGAGCATGTCTGCTTGTTAGTATGCAGACGCGACAGCCCTTTATTCTGTTGAATAAAGCCTTTACTTGTGAATGCTCTGGTTTGGTCTCTCATTCCTTAATCTATAATATTAGGCATGTGGTTAAGATATCCTTGACTGATTTCCCTCCTGCTAGGCAAAAGTTAGTGGTGTTGAGTATTTCTCTTGCTAAATATTCCCATATGTTTCCTTTCTCTGGGATAAGCTTTGGTTCCAGGAATGCAGTTGCTTGTGTTACAAGTATTACAATTGTTACAGAAAATAATAATACATAGTATATATTGCATTTCATGTTTCCCATTGCTAGATTCCTTTTCTTCCCTCCTCCCTCACTCTTTTTTTTTATTTGTACAATGTGAAAAAAGATGTAAAAAAAGGTATAGGTCAAGTATCAAAAATTATAAAAGTCTCTTCTTTGTTAAAAAAGAAAAAATGGAGAAGGTAAAATAAATATATATAAAATAGAGTGTTATAACTCAGCACCTGGGAGTCCAGTTTTGTGTAATTCAGTGATTGTCCTTGGTTCCTCAGAGTTGTTTGGTTCAATGGTGTTGAAGAATGCTGCAAGCGTCCATTGATCTGTGTCCGGATTTTTCTTGAGTTTGATGGGTGGGATTGATTGTGGTGGAGTTTGGCTGTGGTCTATGACTGCTGGCTTTGCATGTGTCCAATGTATCCAAGAGTCTCGTTCTGCGATCTTTATGGCAGTGTGAGTAGTCAGTAAAACTTGGTAAGGTCCTTTCCACCTGGGTTGTAGAGGTGAGGTTCTGGTGAAGAACTTGATCCACACCCAATCTCCCAGCTCATATGGGTGCAGGGCTTCTTCCAGGGGTAAGGTCTGTGTCAGCGCACTCTGGGTCCAGAGGGTCTGTAGTCTCTTTTGCAGGGCTGTAAGATAAGAGAGAACCATATCCACCCTATCTAGGCAGAGGGAATGAGGATCGAGACTTTGTAAGGTATCAGGAGGCCGACCAAAAAGTATTTCAAAGCGGGAAATGCCTATGTCCTGTCTCGGTCTAGTTCTGAGATAAAAGAGGGCAATTGGGAGCACTTGTGGCCAGGAGAGGTGTGTCTCCTGACAAAGTTTACCCAGTATGGTTTTTATCTCCCTGTTAGCTCGTTCCACGGCTCCTGAGGAAGTGGGAGAATAGGGTACATGGAGGTTTTGGGGTAATGCCTAGAGCCTGAAATATATGTGTGAAGACTTGTGCTATAAAATGTTTTCCCCTATCCATGTCCAGAATGGTGGGGACCCCAAACCTAGGCACAATATCCTTAAGGAGATGTCTGGCTGTTTCTAAGGCAGTTGCATAGCGGCATGGGAAGGCCTCTACCCAGTGAGTTAGTTGGTCCTTACAGACAAGAGCATATTGATACCTATTTGCCTTAGGTAGTTGTATATAATCCATTTGGATCTTTTCAAATGGTTTCTGTGCCCAGGGTCTTCCTCCTTCATGAATTGTTTTTCTGGAGGTGGTATTATTTGCTTGGCAGGTTTGGCATGTTGTGGCAATTTTGGTAGCCTCACTATAGGCTCCAGGTGCATACCATACCCTCCTGATGGCATCCACCATAGCTTGTGTGCCACAATGTCCCTTTGTATGTAATCTTCGGCAGATTAGCCTAAGGAGACGTCGTGGGGCTATAGGTCTGCCATCTGGGACTCTCCAAAATCCTTGGTCAAAAACTGCTGAAAATTTCTTTTCCCATTGTTCAGATTCCCCTTTGTCTAGAAATTGTGTGTATGATATTTCTGGTTTTGTTGTTAAAGCTGGTGTGATGATGGTGTGAGGTAGAGGTTTGGTTGCCACCCATTTGGCTGTTGCATCTGCATATTGATTTCCTTTCGTTATTGTAGAGTCATCTGTTTGGTGGGCTTTACAATGGATGACTGCTAGCACTTGCGGTAATTGGATGGCTTCTAACAGTTTGGCTACCAATGATGCATGTACTATTTGTTGTCCTGCTGAAGTTAAAAAACCCCATTGTTTCCATAGGGCTCCTGTTGCATGGCAGACTCCAAAAGCATATTTGGAGTCTGTATAAATGTTGGTAGATTGGTTCCTAGCAGTTTCGCAAGCTTTCATTAAAGCTATAAGCTCAGCAGCTTGGGCGCTGTGGGAGGGAGGAAGGGGGGAGGCCCAGATAATTTCTTGTAGCGAGACTACAGCTGCTCCTGTTACTCTTTTGTTCTGGTGCATATAAGAGGAACCATCTGTGAAAAGTTCAATGTCGGGGTTTTGTAGCGGGGTATCTGTTAAATTGGAGCGGGGTAGTTCAGCGTCATGCACTAAATGGAGGCAATCATGGAGATTGCCTTCTTCCTGTTCTGTGGGGAGCAGGGTAGCTGGGTTTAGAGTATTACATCTTTCAAAGGTAATGTGATCAGAGGTAAAAAGTTCAGCTTCATATTGAGCCAAATGCTGCTGAGTGAAGGCTTGTGTCTGGCTCTTTAAGAGAATTGCAAAAACTTCATGGGGGACTTTTAGCAATAGTGGATGTCCTAGTACCAAATCCTTAGATTGTTTCACCAGTTCGACTGTAGCTGCCACGGCTCTTAAGCAGGGGACAGCCCCTTGAGCTACTGGATCTAAGGTTACAGAATAATAAGCGACTGGTCAATGTGTGTGTCCAAAAGGCTGAACGCCAGAGGCAACACCTAATTTTTCATGGATGAATAAAGTAAAAGGTTTCCTATAGACAGGTAGCCCGAGTGCTGGGGCTGATGCCAGGGTTTGTTTCATGGTCTGAAGTGTTTTGTCCAGAGATTTGGACCATTCAATGGGGTCAGGCATGTTTTTGCCTGTTAATTGGATAAGTGGTCGGGCTAATTCTCCAAATGAGGGGATCCATGGGCGGCAGAAGCCCAGTACTCCCAGTAAGGCTCTAACCTGTCGTTTGGTCTGGGGTGGTTTCATGGCTAAAATGGTTTCTACTCGATTAGGGGCCAGTCTTCTAATTCCTGGTGCAATAATGTAGCCCAGATATGTTATTTCTTGTTTTAAATATTGCAATTTGGAGGGAGAGGCTTTGTGCCAGGGCTTGAAGTAAGTACAGGGTATCTGTTTTACATGCTAGCTCAGTTTGAGATGCCAGCAATAAATCATCAACATATTGGATTAAGGTAGACTGTTGTGGTAGGGAAATGGAGGAGAGGTCTGCCTTTAATATTTGTGAAAATAGGGTGGGGGACTCAGTATAGCCTTGTGGCAATCGAGTCCAAGTATATTGTTGGTCTTGCCAGGTAAAGGCAAATAGATATTGGGATGCTGGATCCACCGGAATGCTAAAAAAGGCAAAGCACAAATCGATGACAGAAAAATAGGTGGCCGAGGCTGGCACTTCGGTAATTATAGTTGATGGATTAGGTACTATGGGGGCTCTTGGTATCACGTGATTATTTATGATCCTCAAATCATGAACAAATCTAAAGATGGGGTTTCCATCTTTATCTACTGTAGATTTCTTCACAGGAAAAATGGGGGTGTTGCAGGGAGAGGTACATGAGAACTCCCTGCTGTAGGTATGCTTGGATTAATTTCTTTATGGGGAGAATTGCCTCTGCAGGGATTTTGTATTGGGGCACGCATGGAGGTTGTCCCTTTTTTACTTGGATAGTAACTGGTGTTGCTCCTTTAAGTAGTACCACCTCTGATGCGTCCCAGCCCCATAAGGAGGGTGGCAGGCTTTTTAAATCCTCATGAAGCCCTGTGTTGCTGGTTATCAGCATGATTGTCTTGTGTGTGCCTTTTCCTGGGATTTCTAATTGCAGCCCCTGTTTGCTACGTTATGGTAGCTCCCATTTTACAGAGGAGATCCCTTCCTAATAGGGATAGTGGCGACTGGGGGCAAATAGTGAATGCATGGTCTATTGTGAAAGGTCCTAGTTCTACTGGTACGTTGTGGGTAAATTTTACAGGGATTATTCCCACCCCCCACTCCCATTATGCTATCCCGAGCCCCTTCAGCCATTGAAGCTTTATATGGTGGCTCCAGTATCAACTAAGCAATTGTATTTCTTTCCTCCTATAAGAATGGTAACAATGGGTTCCCCTTCTGGGCCATTTTTTAAAGGGATAGCTAGTCCATTAAAGGTAGCCATGAATTCGGTGCTTTCATTGTCATGCTCTAGTCAAGAAGGGGGTAAATCTTGTTCTCTCCTTTGCTCCCATTGACTTCTATTGTTAGTGTTGATTGGAGGAAAGGGAGCACTGGCTGGTGTCTGATTACTGAAACTTTGTTGCTCAGTGTAATGGACTGGATTATTGCCTGGCCTCGTGTTTCTAGGTGGTGGGTGATGCCGGTTGCGGGAGGGGTATTGCCTGCATTGCCTGCTGAAATGCCCTTCCTGTCTGCACCTATATCAATGCTGGCATCTGCCTTGCGACCACCCTGCTTTATCGCAATGCCAGCATTTCTTTGAATTATAGGGAATTCTACCAGACATTTGTCTGGTATTATGTTGCATTACAGCAAACGTTTTCAGGTCTTCCTGTCTTTCTATTCGTCTATCTTCCTCTTTCAAATTGTCTCTTTGGTCATAGACGAAGTTAGCGATCCTGCGCAACTCCGCTATGTCTAAGGTTAGCCAGTTAGAGACGAAGCGGTGGAAATGTTCTTTAATATCTAAGGTGGACTGATCCACGAAGGCTGAAGCTAAAATCCTTTGGTCCTTCAGGCAGCTAAGGTCTAGATGGGCATATGTAGTAGCTGCTTCTGTCAGGCAGACCCCAAAAGCATCAGGGTTTTCTTTTTCTCTTTGTGTTGTTCTTTGGAATTCGGACCAGTTTAGAGGCTTTTTACCAATTTCCTCTAAGGCT